ATCATGGGGAATGAGTGATGGGATAACAAGGAACAGAGTGAGAGAGCAAAAACAGCACTATGACCTTGTCCTATGCCTCTGATGTGTGCTACGATCCATGAACTGCAGTCAGTGTGTGTTCCTGTTAGTGTGCAGGAACCTGCAGCTTATCTGTGATTATTAATGCTGGGGATCAGCAACAAGTGACATTCCGGCCTTTCTGGTGCCTCCTGTCATTCAAAACATGCCTCTTCCAGCGTAGCTCCTACATGAAAGCCAAAGGCAGCAGTTTGATGGCTCATCTTAATCTTCTTTATCCAGGTGAGCGTGAGAATCTCTGTGTGCTTTTAAACCCAGGAGCCATGACTGAACAAAAAAAAAATCCATCTCCCAGATTATATGCATGACTCACCAGTGCTGAGAAAATTCCTAAAACCTTTCAATGAACTCTGTATCTTGCCTGATTTTGTTTTCTCAGTGAGGAGGGATGTGTTCAGCATGATGTGCTTTGAGACGTGGTGGTACAGGGAGGCGTGCAACATCCCTGGTGCTTCAGGTGACATGTTTTTTGGATTGGCAGCATGTTTCCTTACACAGTATGTTTGTACTTTAACTTCTGTTTTTGATTTGTCCCTAGGTGCCAATTTTATAAAAGGAGATACTGTGACATATTTTAGATTTCCAAGCCTTGGTGGGTCTCCTTAATCAACACAGATCCATGTACCACCTCTAGGGAAGAACATACAAATGAAATATGGAAAGGTCAAATCTGCAGAAATATGAGCTCAGACAATTTTGAACTTTAAGTAAACTCACTTGAAAAGGCACTGTGAGTTATACTTTCACCTCATCACCTGGAGCAAAGAGTGCTGATGTGCACTGGTTGAACACTACTAGATGAAATTCTTTCAATTTTCAGCCACTGATGGGTGAGAAAAGCTTTCATCTCAGCTACACCCCATGTTGGAATAGCCAGGAGAAAAACTGAAATCTTCAAGAGGTGATTTTGCTCACTGAGTTCAAAGCTTCATCTCCGGCTATGACAGCATTACTTTGAACACTTCTCGTTCGCTCTCGCTCTGTCTCTCACCTGCTGATTTTTCAAATAAGTTTAAAAATACTACTTTAAGGCAGTATGTTATTGTGTGCTTGAATCTACCTTTGGTCAACCTGTAACCAGGAGACACTGGCTCTTACCAGGATCAGGCTGATTTAATAGGCACTTTATTTTCTTTCTCAATTAAAACATAAGGAAACTTCAAAAGGCAATACCTTTCAGACTCATGTCTTGCAAGATCAGTTTGTTCTCTATGTGTCAAGTTGTGACGAAATAACTTCAACATTGTAGCATATATTAAATCTCAAATTCCAAAATGTACTGAAATTAACAAATCCTTAAATGCAGTGCAGCCTGTGAGAGAAAAAAAGAAGGGGGGAGGTGCTCGTATTCAGGAAGTGTTTGGTATTTAGCAACCACAGCCCAGTCTGGATAAAGCGGTTAGCCCACTAGCTCGGATAGTGCTATCATATTGTGTAAAACTGTTCATTTTCTCTGGAAACGCAGTAAGAAGTGAAGATAAAACCCAGCATTTCCCCCAGCTACCTTGTTTCTATTTTTATACTCCTGTTAAGGCACTGTCCCCTGGGGTGCCCCCAGGGGATGGTGCTTTCCCCCTTTCTGTTCACCCTCTACACGTCGGACTTCAAGTACAACTCCCACCAGTGTCATCTGCAAAAGTTCTCAGACGACACTGCCATTGTTGGATGTGTATCTGGGGGGGACGAGGGGGGAATACAGGGGGGTTGTTACTGACTGCTTGGAGTGGTGTGAGAAAAATCACCTGTTCCTGAACACAGGCAAGACAAAAGAGATGGTGATTGACCCCCGGCAAAAATCACCAGTACTCACGCAGGTGAGCTTGCAGGGCTCAGATATTGAGATTGTGGACACCTTTAAATACCTGGGTGTCAACCTCAACAATTAACTGGATTGGACCAACAACACAGATGCCCTGTACAGGAAGGGCCAGAGCCGCCTCCACTTGTTGAGAAGACTGAGGTCCTTTGGTGTGTGCGGGGCACTCCTTCGAACATTTTATGATTCTGTGGTGGCATCTGTAGTTTTTTTACTTTGTTGTGGGTTGGGCAGGAGGTACCACGGTCAGGGACAGAAAAAGACTCAACAAGCTGGTCAAGAGAGCTGGTTCTGTCCTGGACTGCTCTCTGGATTCCATCGAGGAGGTGGCAGACAGAAGGATGCTGGCGAAACTAAAATCCATCATGCACGACCCCTCCCATCCCCTGCACAACACAGTGGTGGCTCTGAACAGTTCTTTTAGCATGAAACTGTTACATCCCCAGTGTAAGAAGGAGCGTTACCACAGGTCATTCCTCCCCACAGC